GGGAGGGGTGAAGAAAAGAAGTGGTGTCATATGTTTCTGTTGCAAAAGACACTGCACATAGAATCATACAACGGTTTAGTTTGGAAGGGACATGATGACAGATGAATTATTTTCTTTTCAGCTTTTAAGTTTTACCACTGGAATTATACTATTAACATACATCAATCTAAAATGAAACCTAAAACTATGTTATGTCCCAGTCAACATCGCACATACATCGTTAGCCATATCCATATACCAAATGACTAGCATTTTCAGTCACCAGCATGGAACAGAAATGTCACCTCTTTCACCACCTAAACTGTACCCAAACTGATCATTTCCAGAGAATGAAATATTTTCGTTTCTAAGTTATCCTCTCTTATCTATCTATCAGATAATGGTTATGAGATCATATGAAAACACAAGGAAAGAAAACTTAGCTTTACTTGACATATATTTCTGCTTGATTTTGTTTTTAAGAAATAAAAATAAATCTGCAGCATGCTGCAAGACAAAGCAGGATCTGCAAACGTTACAGCATAGCTAGATATATTTATGGATGGTTATATGCTAGGATGCTCACAAGAGAAATACTCACATTTATTATACAAAGCATAGGATCCTACACAGCAGTCAGACAAATTCAGAAAGGAAATAAAGCCCAGTTCTTTAACACTGAGGATAACTGAACTCTTAGGACTTACCAAGGGCTAAGAAATTGATTTACTATTGCAAAAAATCTCCACATTAGGCTTAAGAACCCAGAGCAGGCTGGATCCGTGCTGGAGGCACAAATCCTAGACTGCTATTTTTCCTTAACAGAGGAGGGCTAAAGGAACTCTTAACCACACTATAAATGCATAAATAGGATAACAGCAGCAGCAAGAAAACACATAAAGGCACCAGGTCCTTCACAAACTCTTGTCACTGTTTACCCACAGGAAGTTTCTCATTCTGGTACCCACTGCTTCAGCAAAGAGCATTATAGAGCTTCCATCAACAAAAAACTACAGCAAATAAACATTAGAAGCACTCATGAGAAAAATGAAAAGGTAGTAAAGATGGTGACACACAAATGAGAATTATGGAGGATGTCGAATATTGGATCATTGCCATTCTATAGGTACATTAAAGAAGTAGTTATAATTTGTAGATACTTGCTGAAAATAAGCCTTCCCAAGCCTCTGACATACAACTTTTCAGTAATACTATGTCATCTGCTACATTTGAGAAAACCATCTACAATTTTTACTTTTATTCCACCAGGTTCATCAATAACCTTGAAATACATTGTCTGAGTGTTAGTTTGTATTTTCTAAACACAAATAAATTCATTAACACATTAAAGTTAAAACATAGTTATGACCTCTATTTTACAAAAAAGGCACAAAGACTGCATATGAAATAATTTCAACAGCTCCTATCCCATTCAGTCGTTACCTTCCATACAAAGCTGGATGAAATTTCGACATGCTTTTGGTGCTTCTTTTGACCATAATTCTATATCTATATCTCCTGCTGTTGTTCGCAGCAAAACCTACAAAAATATAAAAATACCATTAGATTCATTGTAATAAATAATAGACTTGCTGAGTTAAAAAAATACTTCTGCATTCATTGTGTCAGTAACAGTAGTAGACATTCAACTGTGCCAGGCAGCTGCTGTTAGTTCTAGATAGTACTGTCAGAACTTAAGATACAGTTCTGATCCAATGTGTATAATAAGGCTTCAAGGCCAATGACCTGGTAACTGACACATAACAGAAACTCCTATGTCCTTTATCACTTCCACAATGAAGCAACATGGGAAAAAAAATATCATTATGCCATAAATCTCTGAAGGCATATACCTCTCTTACAAGTAATACCATTAAATTTAGTAAAAGATCATGGAAAAAATTAAAACCCCAACATATAGTCAAGAACAGAGAAAATTAAACACTTTAAGGACTCCTTTGTGTTGTGTACCTACACAGCACATGTCGTGCTTTGATGAGGTAATGTCCTTTCGGGGTATATCACCTCAAACTAACTTTAACCAAACCAGCATCACAACACGGAAACCACCATCACACACATACAGCGCATATCCTCACCTGTCCCCTCCCCGCCTCCCGCCACACACCATTTCTTCAC